CATCCAGGCTTCACCTTCGGGTGCTCCTGCCTTCCGCTCCCCGGGCAGCCCCTGGGATCCCCCTGCTCGCAGTCAGGCCGCAGGGGTTTGCAGGTGTTGAAGGCTCCTGGGTGCAGGGGTTGCTCCGCTGCCCAGCGCCCCGAGCTCATTGTCATTCTGACTTTGACTTCGTTAGTGATAACAGAGAAGGATAGTGCACCTTTAAATTACGAGCTTTGTGTTTAATTACCCAAATAAAATGACATAAATATGAATGAGTGCTAATGGCGGGACTTGCTTTTCCGGAAACCATTAACAAAACGATTCTTAAATGATTTGTAAAGAAAATGAGAGGAGAAGAGAGGAGCGAGAAGGCTATTAGGCGTCTAACACACTCCTGAATTATTATGTAGTCAACTACCTCGCAAATATCAGGTGAAATGATCTTGCAAAAGGAAAAAAAGGGTTTCATTGCCAAGGCTGTTGAGGGGTGCGGACACCCTGACCTCTCTGCTGCCTGCGCGCCTGCTGAAGGGGCCATTCCGGGCTGGAGCCGGGATCCCGTGGCTGCTGGGGGACGCTAGCGCCAGGTCAGTCTAGGTGACGGGGACTCGTGGGTCCCGTGACAACTTAGCACTGGGAGGGGGCCAGGATCGGCTGCGTCTCATAGCACCCTCGCCTCGGGGACATGACCGGAGCTGGGCATCTGGCCGTGGCAGGCGACTGGGATGGTGCCTGGGACAGCTTCTGGGGCTGACGCAGCTAGCGTGACGGCAGCTCTGCTGCCTCCCTGGCTCCCCTTCGGTCATGTTTGTGGAAGGAGGAGCAAAAGAAACGTCTCATCTTTCCATGAGTTGTGTTTAGAACAGCCCCACACACCGGGAAGACCACAGCGGGCTCTCAGCCGGGTGTTTTACCCACAACTGCCAGGAACTGCGGGTTAGATTTTGGGAGCGGTACATGGGGAGCATGCAGAGTCCTGGGACCCGCCAGGTGATGCTTGTGTTTGTTCACAGGCGTATTTATGGGACAGTAATAAGGACCTGGTGGAGTGGCTGGAAAAGCAGCTCATGGAAGAAGAAGGTGTCCGCTCAGTGGTGGATGAAAACATCAAATATATCTCGAGGGACTACATCCTCAAGCAGATACGGAGGTAAGGCGACTGCGCACACCCTGCCCCTGCTCTCGGCCGCCTGCCCCCCCGCTGAGCAACGCCAGTTCCACCCATGTTTCACATTCTGTGTGGCAAACACATAAGGAGTAGGTGGCAATGCGAATGTGGGGGCGAATGTGGAGCTACTGGGAGACAGAGGGGTTTGTACCAAGTCTGTGTCTTGTGGTCCTTGTGCTCTGGCCGGGGTGCTGCTGCACGTGATGCTGTGGATGCCCCATCCCTGGGAGGGTTCAAGGCCAGGCTGGATGAGGCTTGGAGCAACCTGGTCTGGTGGAAGGTGTCCCTGCCCATGGCAGGGGGGTTGGAACTAGGTGGGCTTTAAGGTCCCTTCCAACCCAAACCGTTCTGTGATTCTGTGAAAACCCTTATGGTTCCTTCCCTTTGTTATTCCCAGCCTGTCTTCCCAGGCAAGGTACCTGGTTTCATCGGTGCTCAGTGTCATAAAATGCCCAGTTCCTTTTCCTTGCAGTGTAGAACTACACTAAATAACCCCCCAAAACACTAAAGCATTGGCAGCATATCCGTTCCTCCTGCTGGCAGGAACTGCTGGGTGTGTTTGCCCGGACGTTCATCCAGCGTTGAGCCTCGTGAGCCGAATGCTTCGCTAGACTTGAGCAGAACTGGATGGTTTTCATGTCGTAGGCTGGAGGTCCCTTAAAGCAGCTTTGCCTCTGAGAGTGCTGGGGGAGGGCACTGACTGAAGAATGAAGCTCCTGAGGTTTCCCTGTCCCACGTCTGACTCCGTAGGGTGTCTCTTCCCATTGTCCCCACCAATTCCTCCCTCCTTGCTATGGCCGACAGGACTCTGCGTCAGCTGGGAGGGGAAGATGTGGGTGCTCTTGGTAGCCTCCTAGGGTGCTGCTGGGGGGATCAGGACACACTCGGAGTTCTTGGTTTCCCCACATCCGCCCTGGGCCCATGTGGTCCGGCCTCTCGGGATGTCAGGCCCCATGCCTGCGTGAGCAGGTCTGCCCCCAGCAAGCCGAGAGGCACGAGGGCCTCCGAGCGAGCTCAGCTCTCGCGCTGCTCGCAGTCAGCGCACAAGCGCCTGCTGCCTTGTCCAGTCTCTCCTTCCCACCCTCTGTTTCAGTCCTCCCCCCGGGGGCCTGACGGAGAGCTGTCGGACGCGCTCCGGTGCGGGTGCCGGGGCTGCCGTCACTTAACTCTCGCCTCTTTCCAGCCTGGTCCAGGCCAATCCGGAGGTTGCCATGGATTCGATAGTGCACATGACCCAGCATATATCACCCACCCAGCGAGCCGAGATCGTGCGGATCCTCTCCACAATGGACTCGCCTTCCTCAACGTAAGAGCATCGATTTCCCACACTCCCCCCTGCCCGGTACAGTGGAGGAAAAAAAAAAACCAGAAGCTCAGAATTGCCCTTTGTCTGCTGGACTGCGACCGCTGTACCGCGACGGGCAGGCTCAGGGAGCGCTGGAGGAGTGACGTTTTTATTTTTTCAAATCAGACTGACCAGAGGAAATGTGTTCTTTGGCCACAGACACGAGGAAAATGTATAAACGCGAGCGCCTGCAGAATTGAGTTACAGCTGTCTAACTGTACCTTATTTATTCAACAACGCGGGACTGGACCGATGCATCAGTTCGCTGCTGGCTGCCACCCGAAAGCGCTTCGGCCCGGCAATGAAGGGTGCTCCGGCACCCTGAGGTCTTGGCAGTAGCGACGAGGGGGCTCATTTTGCTGACGCCTCTGTGCCCCTGCCTGCTCCTCCCTTCACACCCGGCTGGTAGCAGCAGCTTTGTGCTGACAAGTGCCGACGTTACGCCCTGCCAGAGCGTTGCTGCAGCCGGGCACCGGCTCTACCTCCCAGGAGCCGGGTGGGAGCGCAGGATCCTCCCGCCTGGTGCCCCGTGGGCGAGCAGAGCCCACCACCGCGTCAAGCCTTGTCTCTGTCACCAGGGGTGACTTGTGTTTCAAACGCCTGTCTTGTTACGTAATAGTAGAGGGAAAACAGCGTTTAAGCCCCAGGTTGGCTTCAGGGAAGGCTCTGGGCTTCCCAGGATGGTGAAGGTGGCGGGGGCAGGATTTTGGAGGTTAAATCCCCTCTGGTTTTGCCTTTGTGCCCAGTTCCTTTAGGATAGGTCAGTAAACTGAGCAAAAGGCCCTTCTAGGTGCAGGTAAAAGAGGAGACCAAACCGCAGCCATTTCTGCTCTCCCTTCCCTACTCGTTTTGAGGGACAGCCCTGCTATTCCGTACGCTTCCTCGAAGTGCTGGTCCCTCTCACATGCGTAGGCAGCTGAAGCAGAAAGCAGATAGAGCCTGCTGGGGTAAGGGAGGGGAAAGGAGGGCATTGAATGCACCAGTGGGGTTAAACTGCAAAGGGAAACTCAGCCTAATGCAGCTGGAGCAGAGTTTTTCTCCATCCCCACCTCTGCCCCAGAGCTGCCTGGCCCTGGCGTGTGGCCGGGCGAAGGGGCCACCGTTATTCACGTGGGAAGGCGGAAAAGGTCGTTTTGGTTATCCCCTTCCTCAGCACCAGCTGGCTTTGCACCCGTTCCAGTGGTCACCCTTTGCAGAGTGACCGTCTCTGTGGCTGTGTGGTGGGGAAGTGGCACGGAGCCGGGATGCCAAGGCAGCAGCGTAGGTCAGCCCAGCCCAGGCCCTGCCTTATTTCTGCCCTTTTTTATTTTCATGGGTCTCCTGACCGTCCTAACGGATCAGAGAAGCTGGAACTCCGGCTGGAAGCACGGTCAGCCCCTAACACGTAGCTCCTGTCGCGGAACTTGCTGTAAGCAGGACTGGCGAGCTTACACCGACAACTGTCTTAAAAGTATTTCAGGTTCTACAGTTCCTCTCAGCAGCGCGGCTCCGACGGATGCTGGCAGGAGAGACCAGTGAACGCTGCTGCAGTGCCTCAACCTGCACCTTCGGAACTGCATCGCAGCCCGTGGTGTGTCTGTGCTCCTGGACCGAGGGGCAGCACTGCTGCTCGCCGCTCTCCTCCCCGGGCCATGAGCTGCAGCCCTGCCCGTGCCCAGCGCAGCCATGCCAGCCGCAGGACTCGCTTTTTAATTAAGAACCCTAATTTGACCTAAGACTTTTTCTTTTTTCCCACTAGAGCCCCCTGAACAACCCCCAAAGATGCTTTTACTTATGCCCGTGTGGGCTGCAGCAGACACAGAATGTCTCGGCCAGGCAGGACCGCCCCTCGTCGCTGTCACCAGGATTTCCTGCGTGGTGGCGTCACGTCAGTCCCTTATCCTGGGTGTGCAGGTGCCACGGGCGAGGTCCCAGCGCACGCTGCTCGGTCCCTCCTGCCTGGGGTGGGAGCTGGCGCTGCCAAAGCCTCTTGCGTGCTGGACAACCGCAGACCCCTCTGCCGCGGCGTGACGGGCGCTAGGTCCGGCTCCGCTTCCTCTGGGGGTAAAGCAGCTCCAAGACACCCGGCCACCAGGTAACCTCGGAGCTGGTCGGAAGTCAAAGCCCAGCACGA